ACCTACCGGGTTACGAGTCCCATACGTTCTGCTGGACTTGCATAAGTAGCTCCCTTCCCTCGGTCGCCCAAGAAGCTGACCAGGAAATTAATATTGTGCAACACTGGAGCAGATTTGGGTAATTTTGTTACATCAGTATGAAGTGAAATATATGTCTGTTTCTCACTGCAGAATGAGAATACAGTTATTTGTAGGTGAGATGACATTTTACATTTGAGTCCTAAATATAGACCCACGAAGTAGGTCTTTGCTTTGCTTAAAGGAAAGATAATTTTAATTGCAGTGAGGATATATGTTAGGCCTGATGACTATGATTTGAATCTTAAATTGACTTAGAGAGTGTTCACCTCTTTTCTATATTTGCTATATGTCATTAATGGGATGTTCTTTCTGCAATATGCTTATCGTATTCTCGTTGTTGTTCTGTGAATCGTCATGTTTCAGTCGAGGGAGCCATAACGCCACTGGCTTGAGGCTGTACTAGAACCATGTGCTCTTCAGCCATGGTATTCAAAGTTCAATAATGGTTGGTTTATCTTTTAAAAACACGAAGGTATTAACGATATTCCTTCATTCTTTTTCCACAATACTACTATGAGAATGATGATTTCGGAAGATTATTAGAAACTTATTAGAAAGATATCTGCGTTGATGTAGTAGCATAGCAATCATTACCTGCAAATTCAATAAATTGCGAGATTAATGTTATACTGGACTGTGTGTTTTGTTGTTGTAGCTTTTTGTTTAACTTTTTTTTGGTTCTCGGGACGTTGGAGCTTCTCAGGTTAAAACTGTGTAGTGTGTTGGTCTTTTTGTGTGCTAACATGGGTGTTAAGACATTTTGGAGCTCTAATCATGTGTAAGCTTTTCAGCCTTTTCATGTCCTAGACAGTCTCTTGAAGTTGAAAAAAGACATCTATTCTCCTAAACCTTACTTTCAAAAACACATTATGATTTGGGTTCATCACTGTTCATGCTTTTGTGTTGTTGATGCTTAGTCTCACTCCTTCATTTTGTTTTTATTCATGAAAATGGTTTTTAATTTTCTGAATGGTTTCTCACTGGTGTTTCTTAACTCATTTAAGTACAGTTTTGCGTTTCCTTCAAAAATATTCTTAATCCTCAACAAGCAAACTGTATAACATTGATACTTTGTTAACATTTGTTAACAACGCCATCGTATGCAAAACCTGCAAAGCATCTTGATCGCAACTTTCTCTCTTAAACCATTACACCGGCGCTATCAAGCATCTCTACTTCACCGGTATCTGCCAATCTCGGCTTCCAACAAAGCCATACCGCACGGTGAGATGGGATATCCGATAACTATAGACGATAGCTAGGGAGTGGCCAGCGGCTACTGGATAGAGCCGTCATACGGTCGTGACCCACGCTGAAGATCAAGGCCAGTGAAGGGGGTGACGTCACCGACCAAGTTTGGCAACCACCCACCACAGCCACAACCACAACCAGGCACGGTGGTGCAACCACAGGTGGATCTAAACGGCGACAATGGAACAATGCTCATTGATTGATCCGGGTCAACGGATGACTGGGGAGCTTAACTTGCAACAGATGTGTGGACGATTGCGTCGTGAGCTTGAAATAGTCGATGTTTCCAGAAAAAAATAATTTGGTTGAGAGTAACGATTATCGAGTGACTGAGGGTAAAATATTCAAACGATTTGTCAGGTTTGACAACTATATAGGATAAAATTACACGATCTCTTGGAAGTGGTCTATTTTTTCCAAAATATGGCTCAACTGCATTTTGTGTTGAGTATTTCAGTACCTTTAATTTATTTTAGTATGTAAAGGGTCTTATGCTAGACCAAGAATGTAGAAATTATTTACAACTCAGAAATTAATTAGAAGCAGCTTTGTTAACCGTGTCTTTAACCGGAATTAAAATTAAATAATAGATTGACAAAATAAAGCAAATTTGGTAGTTAAAAACCCTCAAGATCAATAAAAAAATACTGTAGTTAAAAATGTTTTTTTGTGGGATACGACTAACAAACACAACCTCCCCCCACCAACAACAATTATGTCAAAAGTAATGACTACAATGATTGCATTTATAATGTTAATCACTAAGCTACTAGATTCGTGAAACAACATGACGCTGTAGATTATCAAAGTACTAACGCTATAACAGATCGCGTTGACACCTCAGTAATGGAGATTACTCAACCGCTCTGATCGAACCATTGTGTTTGTGTGGACCAATCTCTACGCCGGCCTTGACAGAGAGACGTTTCGTCTTCACGCTCCGCGCGTCATCAAGGCCTGAGGAAGGAACCTTGGTAGTCAAACAGTAATGGTTCACTGATCGGTTGTGTTCAGACCTCAGACGGTCTCCGGTCACTGGTTCCCAAAGGGTATTGTGAAAACGCTGTTACAAAATAACTATTTACCTAGTGACTTTTTACTCGTATATGTCAGTTTAGCTAAATATTATGTTTTAGATTGTTTTCAATTTTGGTTAGGTAACGGGTCTAATGATATTCTTAGGTACTGTAAGAATAAAGTTAATCAGGTTAATAATTAGTAAAAGTTTTATAAAAATTAAGTAAAATTTTGATTTGTATAATGCAAAACCAATTAAAATGATTATACTTTTGCAAAAATTGTGTTCTTAGTGTTTTGTTAAAAGTAATAATTGAATAGCAACCTCAGTTATAATTTGGACAGTTAATTTGTTAGAATATCTACTGAAACCTTGTTTACCAAACGTATAACTAATCTGTAAAGTATACGAAAATCTTTTTGAATTCCCGGTTTATCATCCCTATAAACCCTAAGACTATCGTTATAGGAAAAAGATTTTGCCCCTATTTAGTTTTAATACTTTTGATCTAAATTCAACTCGTAGATTGCAATTTCATAGCTTTGTAAAACATATGAAATAGAAATACATAAATAAGGTGATGATTTTTATGTAGGTACCGGTCAGTGTGAATACAATCTGCGCTCTCGACTACTCGATCGTTAAAGTCTCCACAGACGACCATTACGTTAATGTTATTACTTGACAACAATAATTCAACCGAGAATGTTTAACAGCAATAAGTCAATAAGCAAGTGTGTCGAGTCACAAAGGCCTTTTCAGTTTTTTGGTAAAATTTCAAAAAAAATGTTATCCAAATTTATGTTTCTGGCCCCTTGACTATATTGTTAAGACAATATTGTGGTTTTGGCGAGTTTTGCAGGCAATGAAAACGTTGTCTTCGCAACCAAACATGTAAGCTGATGAGCAATATTAATCGTTAGACTAGCTATTTGACGGAGGAATGTACAATCTATTATTATCTCCTAAAAAAAATGTTATATGGTCAATTGCCGATCTTTGAAGGACATCAGCTAACAAGCAAAGTGGTCCACACCCAAACGCGGTAAAACACCAAAATCGGCCTCGTGAAAGTATCGCTTGACTGACTCCATAACAACGCGGTGACCTGTGGGCGTGCAAACTGTGAAATGGACAGAGACGCCGCAGTGCGCCTGCGCGTGGGCCGCTCGCGAGCTGTACGCAGACGCAGACTCACGGCGCAGCGGCGCGGCGTAGCACCCACGCCGTGCGCAGGTCAGTGATGGTGACGGTGAATCACAAGGTCGACGGGGAAATTCGCTGACTCCTTTCCGGAACAGACCGTTCGATACTATCCCCGATCAGGCAGAAATATCGTGTCTGTTAAACTGATAACACTTTTACAACAGTTAGAATTACCTGCGAGCTTAATTTTAAACAAGTAGTACGTCAATTTTGTTACACTCTTCCAATTGCATTTTCTCGTTAGTTTTTATACAGCCAATCTCGACTTTCCGTCTTTTTATGGTCTTTACTGAATCTTCGCATCTATTTTTTACATTCTTTCAATTTTAATTTTCTCCTTGTATTATTGTTTCATTTATAACTATCGAATTCGGTTTATTCTTATACTTAGAAGCTTCCAATGTGTGTTTATATGTGCTCTATACTTTTGTGTATTAGTTACTGTACCATGTATGATATGCTGTTGTGAGAGTTACATTTCAGAACAATGAAGCGACATTATCGTGTGTTTAGACACCAATAGAAAACATCAATTGCCCATTTGGATTTGACCGACGAAGATTTTATATCACTTCACCCGTGATTTACAAAACTCATTAGGAAAATCTCTCAACCCTACAATGGTTCAAATAGTCCTGACATTTAAAGTAATACACATATGTTGTACATATTAATACTATAATCATCCGATCTCAATTATTGAGTTGGGAACACACTACTTATACAACTTTAACTGCAGTTTTCCGGGAAAGTATAAATTCCAACCAATAGTCCGATAATTGGCAGTGAAGATTATGCCGAAGATGAAATCGAGGGTTTCTGCGGTTTCTCCTCGTATACACCGAGGTAATTATGCGATAAGGCGATGTCGCAGGTCCTGGGAGTGGATAACGCCCAGCGGTGTGCGCGGGGCAAGGGTCACGTGGTACTGGAGACAACCGGACAACAGGGAAACAGGGGAAAAGGGGGAACAAGGCAACACATCGTGGACAGAAACAATAACAATAACAAACAATATAAGCAAAATGGTAAAGGGGCGTCAATTAAAGATGGGAATGAGACAAACCACTGTTGAAATGGTACAGTGAACCGTCGAATAATAAGTATCAAGACACCTGCAAATATGAACGAAACTGCTCTAAATATTAACATTTTAATCTGATAATAAAATTTAGAGATGTGATGAAAATTCATGCAGCCCAAAGTATTTTATGTTCATAGATTTAGTGGGGGTAAAATATTCTTGCATTAAAGAGCTTCAATCTGATATGACTTATATCTCATTAATATTATACAAAAATAAAAATAAATGGTACTTAGCATACATAGCTTGTTAGAATTGTATCATAATCTGCTAATAAAATCTTTGCATTGGTTTTATGGGCTGCACAATCCGATTGGAGTAATAACTTAATAAATTGCATGATAAATCATCTGTAATTACCTCTGAGATGGTGGTGTTATACGGAGTGTTGATGAAGATCGGGGGGTTGTCGTTCACGTCCACTACTCTCACAATGACAGGGACGGTCTTCTTCTTGCGTGTGGATCTCACTGTGCACGTCAGCTGGGGACATTCACGGTGGCGTTAAGTAAGGATTTAAATAATAAAATGGAAACAATATTTATTGGATGATCATGATCTTTGACAACTGTAACTTGTACATAAGTACTTTGAAAGTAGTATATTTCATCAGTATGGTTATACAACTGACAAGAATCACCCAATCAGTAAAAACCCAAACTTATTGATGATGAAAAAACGTGGTTCGGATTCCACTATAAACTGTAGGTCCCAAGTTGCCATTAACTGTAGGGACTATTAATTAACAGCTGTGTCTAAGGTATATGTCACTAACAAGAATACAAGATCAAGCCACTCATCCTTCACTCATATTTGGGTTAAAATACGCACATAGTGGTGTCACCATCTTAAATAATTGATAATTGATAATTGATAATTGATGGAATATTATGTTTTCAGTTTCAATTTACACAAACTATAAATATTATTACACTGTCAATTTTCGTATCAGAGTGAAATATCTCCAACAAATTGCGTTATTAAATCACATACTCTTGAATCACTTTTATTATACATGTATTAATTGGCATATGATATGATTTAGAGCTCCGGAACCTCCCAATTAGACTCACTTTCACCAGGGACAAGCCTGGCTGGACATGGTAATTAGAAGCAGTCCGGCAAAACAAAACTGTCGACTAATGAGCTGTAATATATTGTACTATCACTTTCAAACACGCCGTCCAATCCAACAGGGCCCAACTAAACACACCGTCCAACCCAACAGGGCCCAACTAAACACACCGTCCAACCCAACAGGGCCCAACTAAACACGCCGTCCAACCCAACAGGGCCCAATTAATGCCTAAATTGTCGTAATATTATTAATCAAGTAAAAAATGTTTTAAACTGTAATGTTAGTGAATGTCTTAAGCATGTGTCCAATGTATTAGAGGAGGCTGTGGTCCAATTCATCCCTCCCCTAAATGCTACATTCTACATTACAGTGTACATTATAAGATAATGTTTTATATTTGTCAACTATGTTTCATGTCAGTGATCTAATAAAGTGTTAAAACACATTTTCAATACTACGTGTACAGTTTTCTTCTCCTCCGAAAATTGGCTGGGTGTTTGGTTGGGGAGAATGGAAAGGTTACCTCCCGCTATCTCCGCGACCCGCCACCTCCGTGTCCCGCCACCTCCGAATTTCAGAGTGACCCCTATAATCCTCGGTTACTACCTGCGTTAAGACTTTCCGTCCTAACCTAACCTAACCTAACCTCCTAACCTAACCTAACCTAACCTAACCCAACCTAACCTAACGCACGGGTTAAATTGTCATTGCCGTGGATGCAATGACTGCTACCAACGCAGGCAGTGACGGGACGGGATTATAAGGGTCACTCAAGAATTCGGAGGTGGCGGGACAGATTTGGGTTCGGAGGTGGCGGAACGCGGAGATAGCGGGAGCACACGAATGGAAATTGGTCTGAAAGGGTTCTTTCATTCGTACACTACAGCAACCTCGTTTAGTTTGAATTGATACCTTGGGCTCACAAATTTTTAACAAGATTAAGGTTGATTGGCCATTAAATTACTTTTTTACGTACCAGTAAGAGAAATTCGTCTAAAAACCAAGAACCACATTTACATTGAATAAGTTTATTAAATTCAAAGTTAATTCATGATCAAACCAAAATAAAAAATTTTAAATTTGTATTACAAAAACTTGGAAAGATCCAACTGTCATGTCTAACGTTATAAGCTAAATTTCACATTTAAATTTTAAGTGACAGGCTGAAACTCTACAAATAGAACGGTTTGCTAAATGTATATACTACATAAACGTTTACAACAATCTGTGTTAAGTATAAAATACCATTCAAGTTGTTTCAACAGACCTGGAAGACTATGTGCGAGAGGTTATCCTTGTCCCGGTCCAGAGGCGAGAGCAGCTGCAGCTTCTTCCCCTGGAGTGTGAAGTAAGGGTTGCCCTTGGGGAAGACAAGGTCCAGACTGATGTCTGCCAGAGGGTCTCCAGAGATGGGTAGCTCCGAGGGAGTGGTGGCCTGGCCTACCTCTGCAACAGATGTGGTCGAAATCGAGCAATGTACAAGATTACCTTTTAGCTGGGTGTACTCTGTAGCAATCAGAATACTTTACAAATAAAATGTCTTAATCCCTCGGAATTAAGAGGTATTCATTTTATTGCAGTTGTGTTTAGAGATCAATTGACCTAACAGACTACATTGAAACTGGAAGTTTAAAAACAAGCATATACGTTTAAAAATAAATTTGGGAAAATTCCTACCGAATATTCGATTATTCTTTGCAAATAAAGTGGAAATGTGAACTCAGCGGAAATCAAACTATCCTATTTACCATTTTAGTATTAGTGTTTCAAGATCCAATGACTTATCTTCTTACTTCGTTATGGAGTAACTCTGGCAATATATTGGTATAATATAACCACTTTTAACAGCAAAAAATACCTAATGCTTTTGCTTTTTACAGATAACCGGGCATTTTTCTGATTACAATACAAATTAAATACCAATTTAAGTATTGCAACAAAACAAACCGCTAGTTCTATTAACTACAATCTAAATTACCCTTATAGTACACATTACGTACTAGGTAATATAAGTACACGATCAGGGTAGTTGTTTAGCCATAATCGAACAATAAAATCATGGCTAATGTTACAAAATAGACCAAATGCAATCAGCGGCTGCCGCCAGGGTGATCTATATCACCGGCCTCTCAATAGCAGCTAATCAAGCAGACAATACCTGTCCTAATATTGTTCTCCTTGTTCGGCAAGACGAGAGTGAATGAAGACTGACAATCAGCTGGTACAACAATGAATCAGATGGAAACGATCTGGCAAACGTAAAGTAGGCCGCCACTCCCAACCTGAGGTTTGGGGACTTTGGCAGTCGGCCATGGGGTTTTGTAGTTGGGTAGACACGAAACATACTTGATCTTATAGATTAGATATTATAGTATATCGCTCGGATATAAAGTAATTTTTGTGGAACTTGATTCTTCTGAACTTTTATATGTGGTGCAAGGTTAGGTTGCTCTAGTGATTTGAGAAATGAACTTCTGTATAAAGTTCAAAACCTGCTGATCAAATAAACATCTACATTACTTTGCTGAGTGATGCCATAGAGTATCAGGTAGTAAAGAATCTAAACTGGCCTCAGAAAGGCCAAATAGCACGCAAATAAAAAAACTTTGACAACATATTGCAAATATTAAATGAACGATGTTTCATTGTGTTTAAACATATTCAAGGCTTCAAAACTGTTTTTCTCACTGATACCATTTGTAAATAGCACGCACCTTCTTCGTAAATCTTCCGCAAGGAGATCGGAAAATCGAGACTCTAATGTACTCTGTACTAATAGTCTTGTGGTAGTTTCGAAAATACTTTAAACTGTAGATAGACCCCTATCTAGAAAACAAAAGCTGATAGAACAGTTAAAATGATCACTTTTACGAAATCGGACGCAAAAACCATATAATAATCAGGTTTGCAACATTTTGTGTCACCAACAGAATATTTACTGTACACATTTTACACAGAGAGAAATTCCATACAATTAAAATCATTAGTTCTTGTGTTGACATTTGATGAGAAAAACATAGGAATTAAAATTCTAAATAGAGGCACAATCTAGTCCACCAGTAAACAACTGAGATAATAGAAATAACTACCAGTTATTAGAAGGGAAACCTGTGGAAAGGTCAAAGAGTTTAACAATGATGTAGTCCTAACGGAGCAACGCTGGAGCCGTTCTGTTAATTTACACTCACTGTCATTGTAATATTTGTTTTGTAGGGGCAGGATATTATAAATGTTCAGAATTGCAAAAAATATCCCATCAATGTATTGCCAGATCTAAATGCTGATTTATCATTCAAACATTGGTAAAATGTTAAAAGTCGTTGTTGGGAAAAATCATTCGTTCAAAAAGTACTTACCGTTCTCTCTGCTCTCTTCAATATCCATAATGATGTTGGATTGGCCATTCTCTACCTCGCAGAGTCCTGAAACAGGCGTTATTTATTTTAATTTTGTATATTTATTTAGTTGTTTACACCTGATAAATAAAGGTTGTTTTTTATTTTTTAATAAAATATCCAAAATCAAATTAAAAACACAATTAATGAAAAAAAAAATACTTTCTTTGGTTTGCATAACACATACTCAACTTAGTAAGACAGCTCATCATAACAATAACTTAACTGAACATAGTAAAACAGTAGTTAAATTAGCTTAAATTGATTTATTACGACATATTATTTGAAAATATTTACACTTAAACTGTTTTACAATAACTAATTTAAACATTAATTAAAAAAACAATCAAGGTCTAACATTTTAAAAGTATTTTTGGATCAAGAAGTTTATGGCTTTTTAATATACAAAGTCAATGTATTGAAAAGGTGCAGAGTTTTTCACATTTTATCCTGTCCAATAAAATTAATGTTATCAACAACAAATATTATTTAGTACATCCTAAATTCAAACCCTACCCGTTAGTACTATATAAACTATAAGTAAAATTCGAGCGACTTACAACACTGTAACAGCCAACAAGCTAATATATTTACCATAAATACACTATAAAATTACATCCACATAAAAACAGCCAAGAGACTCCAAGCCCGCGGCCATCGCCACACGCTATTTTAGCGAAAAGTGGTTTCTAATTTTAGTTGATTTCTGTGTCCCGTTACATGGCGTGCGAATTAATTGACCAAGCACTAGTGTTATTACAGACATGCGCAGACTTCAGGGTTCATCTCACAGTGGAAATTTCGCTCTCCAAACCGCAACTGAAATATAGAGATAATTCATCCTTCGATTAAGTTAATTGAAAATTGTAATGCAATCGAGATAATAGTTTAGTACGTTTGGTGCACACATGGACATAACACTGAAATAAATGTATTGGAATTGTAGATAAAGTATTGTTGAAACCCACAATGAACATGTTATTAGATTGAAACAGTAAGAAATCGGTTAGGGAATTGAAAGTATTGAATAAATCGAAATAGAATTTCCTATTGAAAAAGTTGCTCATTCTTCTATAATATGGTTTAAACTATTCTGCACGCAAACGTAAAGGTTAATAGATTTTCTGGAAGAAAAGAAAAAACTAAACTAGGCTATTTTGCTAGTTAAACGGATGCAAACTTTAGATAGGAATATTCCCAAATGTTAAAAAATATATATATTAAGAACATAACTTAATTCTAAAAAAATATTAAAATATTTTAAAATTATGTTAAGAAGGTGAAAAGGCGATTTGACAATTTCGTGAAACAAATTTGTAGTTGACAGCAAATAAAAGTGGTTCTGTGCCTATCTAACTACTTACTTTATTTTGCCGTTTTTACCGAATAAATGCATTCATCATAGCAAAATGTCCGCCCACTCGTCGAACATTTGGTAGTCAACAGTTATTTATTTAGTCAATTACAAACTTATTTACTGGTTCAAATAAAGTAAATAGCCTAAATACTGCATTTCCTGACGACTTCAGACGCAGAGCCACCGAGCACCCAATCATGCTTCAATCATAACATTCTTGCACGGAGGAAACCAGTAGACCCAGATCTATGATTATCTCTAGGCGTGCACCTACAAGCCATGATTGTAGCCTACCTCGACGGTGTTAGGCCGATGGATAGTGTCTATTGACAAATACAGTCTATACATCTTGCGGGGCTAACTGGGGGCGGCGCTACGAGCTATAAACATGCAAATTAAACAGGATTACGGTCGTACATCAGAGCAATCAGGTGGTTAGAGGGTCTGCCATCCGTGAGGCTGCAGGGCTGCTGCTGGGGGGCGACGGAAATGCTAGTAAATCTTAGGTTAAACATGCCATGTGAGTTACGTCTAATTGCATGTCAAATGTTGGGAATTGTTTTGTATTATGCTTCGGGAGATTCCTGTCATAATCCCGATCTTAAACTCCTTCAGGGTACTGCCACCAGCCTTCTAAGTTTTCTCTATTAATCTTGATTATTTTATTTATATGTTTTCATACCAGTAGATAGAGAGTTGTTTGCCATGTTTCATTAGGCACACATTCTTCTGTTTTAATTTATTAGTCTTACAGGTAAGGTAAAATACTTTGTACAATCATATGGCCACCATGAACGTCACTCGGTATGTATACATGGACTAATCGTGATAGACTACACTTTTGAATTAAATATTAGGAAACGTCAATACACATATCATACAGCTGCAATTTGTCACATAATTTTGGATGGTATTCATCAAATAAATGAAATAAGTATACTAAATCAGAAAACTATTTTATGACCTATAGAACGCGAACCATAGTTAAGATGAATTGTAGTTATAAATCATTTTAGCCTCTGGATTGCTTATGTATAATTGGTTGATATTATAAGGCCTTACCTTAGCAATCCTATTTTATTGATTCGAAATTAATTTAGGACCCGAAGGTCCATCATCAGTCGGAGTCTAAGTTGACCAAACGTGTTCCATAACTAAAGTAAGCTTATCCCACACTATGAAACCATGGTTTTTAACTCTAATTTTTTGTACTATTTTTCGTTTCCACTATGATTTGTATTGTGTTAAATGTGATGAAACTTTCTACGAAACCCAACGGGTGGATTCTACTATAAAAATTTGGTCAACCTAGACTCCGACTGATGATGGACCTTCAGGTCCGAAACTAATTACGAATCGATAAAATAGGATTGCTAAGGTAAGGCCTTATAATATTAATTGATTGTAGCTTTCATGTTTGGCTGTTTATGAAGATCCAAACGCAAAAACCAAATGTGTAATTCATCTTTATTCCCTCTTAAATGATATACTACAATATTTTTCGCACTATCTTAGGATATTTAATTGTCTACAAATATCTCTAGGATGGTCTGTTTAGGTGATATAGCAGGAAGTACCACTCCTCCCTATGACTCATCTGGTTTCCGCGGGCGTCGTTCTCCGTACGATCTGGAACCCTCACTTCACGACAATATAAAAGTGCAATTGATGGTTCAAATCTTTATCTTGGATCAAATACTTACAGTTTGTTCATTATGACAATTTTAAATCAACGTGTTTGAGTTTTCACCAAGTTATTTAGTGTTAAATTATTGTCACAGACTAGTAAACCTGTAAGTAGCAAAATTATATGTACACAGAAATAACCATGCTTGAAATCAGGGGTGTAGCGTATTTTAAACAAACTCTTTACAGCCACAACTAAACAAAACGATAGATGACCACTGTATATACAAAGTTCAGTTTATTGAGTACGTACTCCTACCCAAAACCCATATTAAAATCGAGGATATGCAATCTTTTGTGGTCAATAACTTCTAATTTATAAATACAGCCAACCTACTCCGGCCTCCTCCACACCACTAAGTTTCAAAGAAAAATATTATCCCCAATTAGGCGATTGCCAGCCCAATGAAGCGAGTAATAGCAGTGACGTGAACGCACGATCGAACTGAAGGACCTCCCAGTACAGCTAATAAATCCTACAATCAAAAAAAAAATTATGGAAATAGTTTTTTTTTAACGTAAGCCATATTTATGACATAATTAAGAATAATGGTACCAAAATTATGAACATTTAATTGCAACTTTACTTGTTTTACATAAGTATAAATTATTACCACTATACATCCAGATGTTACCTCAATACCTCAACTTTCCCTCACAATAAGACAGGAGTTGTCACATAAAATCAACAGAGAGTGCCAATAAAGCTGTTCCGAATATTGAGACAATGTTATCAAGACCTCCTAACTAGGGAGGCGGTCCGACTGGTCCTAACTCTCATTAATAGATTCAGCAGACTCGTACTGACCTACTTTACCTCAAAAGTCCAACCCTTCTTATGTTCTTTCAGGTAATACGAATTAAAGTAATTGAATTTCATATTTTAGCAGAGGTTAGCACTGCATCTTTCACAACCGCAAGCGGGAAATTTTTTTATTCGTAGCGCATACAGCCAGAACCAGCTTTGAATACAAAATAACTAAAATAAACTAAATTAAACTGTTTGATAAAATTCTCCAATAAACATTAAGTTTTGGGTAATTTGTTGTAATCTTCAGATGTTGAATTTCAACATTGTTATGGTTTGTAATTACTGTTACATTGTACTACGGCTTCTTGAATGCAGCATGTTTAATAATGACTTAAAATGAAAACCAACCTAATTCTTATTATATCCAAATCCTCGTTGTTATTTGAGACGATTTACAACACAATTTTCCGTAAGTTTTTAAACGTAACCGGGTCCGCAAAAATCACCAAAATAAAAACTTACCAAAAATTAATTGTAAAAAATAATACGTGCTATGTTGTTAGATACAAGTAGGCCTATTTTAGACAAATTCATTTCCAAAAGTTAGTGTTTATTGTCTACAGTACTACTATAACTTCTATTATGGATATTTTGCTTACATGTGATAGGTTGTAGGCTTATATTTTCTTCTTGGTAAGACTTATAAGAAATAGTAATTTTTCAACAGACTGCATGCTCTACCAATATACCAGTTTACCACACCTTCAACAGATCATACAAATACCAGCTGGTTCGTTAGTCAAATGGTCTGCTAACGTGTGCAATGTGCATTATTTGCTTTCACTCTAGGTTTGCAGTTTTCTGGTGTTCACACCCCATTCCAATTATTGCTGGACTGATTGGTCAGCTTGTATGCTGTGTGCTCCGTGTATCGTGTGTCCAGCCAATCAGAAAGTCGCTCGTTAACACTTTACTGATGATTAATGTCGTAGATACTTTCGAGATCGATTTTGTTCCACAATTCTGACGATTTATTTAGTTTTATGTATTGCTGATTAGGGTATAAATAGATGGTCACTAGAGATCGTTTTTGACAGCTAAACTACTTAATTGGAATAGTTATCAACTGTAATTGTACAGTTATTTTATGTGTGTTCTTGAAAATACACAAAAAAACATAGTACCCTAAGAGATATTGTTAAACAATGTTGAAAGTATCGTTCGATACATGTATTTGCAGTTTCAACAAATATTTAATTGTAAAAATTCAAATTCCACTACTCTCAAATACCTGTAAACATCCAAATTTTAATTGTAGGTGGTGTAGGGGTTACGATTCCATTAATTAAACCTCAACTATACCCCTCACCATGGCACATCCTCTTGGTACTAAATTGTGTACTACTAGATCTGTAGTCGTGTTTTTGTAAACGTATGGTATAGAGCACAAGTACAAGCCATAAGTGTGTGGTTGCAGCCATAAGGCAAATGTCTTTGACCAGTTTTGAACCAGCTATATCTTAAAAATTCCAAACCCGGCTAATCAACCCAAGGCGCTACCACTGAGCTATCGTTTTCAGCAAAATTACACCAGTCAACATTCTCTTTGGTACATTTGTCATGCGCCTGCCACACCCGACTATACTATACTGAAGTAGACATATTATATACATTTGGACAATCAATTCGCTAATTTTACATTAAAAACGAACATAGTTAAATAAGCCATTCCGACAGGTGCTACTGTTAATTTGCCCCTCTTAGTTCTAAAAACTTGTATAATAGTGACAAAACTTTACCATACCGGTCGGAACTAAACTGTAAGGTCCAAAGTATATACGTATACGATATGAAATATATTAATTTGGCACAGCACACAAATCCACAATCCACAGCATTTGGTCTGTTGATATACATTCACTGTCTTTTTAAAACAGGCTAAATGTTTGTTTATTCTTGAGTGATTATTCAATTGAAAATGTCTATGTTCTAGACAATATACTTTAACGAGGAAATGCAATATCTACTTGTCCCGATAGTTAACGCCAACCTAGATACACCATTAAGTAATTGGTTTTGATTAATATTATTACTCTTTTCATATCACTCTAATTGAAGTGTGTCAAGATAATTAATAATCGCCAAGTGTGTGAGAGCTGAAAGCTGCCCTGTGAGTCATCGTCTCGGCTTGTGTATGTTTTAGATTAGATCACGTCCAGGCAAATCGATTATGCCACACTCGCCAATATATTCTACTACAGTTTATCTTTGTGTGTCATTAGACTAAACTTTCTTCAGACGAGTACACACTGCTTTCTAATGCGTTTTAGATAGCACGATTTACCTATCTGAATACAGTTTATGTAAGCTGGGTAAAATTTATATAACGTGAGCAGCACTACAATGAAGAGTATATGAGGAAGTGTTCGAAAGTGGGGTAGTTATTGCTTGTGATCGTTTGACAGTTCGTCCGTGAGATTTCATTTTGCATTTGAAATAAAAACAAATCACTATATCCGTGAAAGAATTTAAATCAGTCACCTGTCGACAATTTAACATTTACGTCAAAATAACAGTTTACTTAATAGTTCCTAGCCTACGCCACTTTCTCCATCGTCATCTTCTCTAAATAGCATTATGTGTTGTTTGATGAATCATACTCCGAATAAATAACTATTACCATCACAATAATGTTAATGAATCTAGGTACATATCGTTATTGTTCAAATCAACATGACAATGAATGAGTACTCTAAGTCACTTCTGATTATGAAAAGGAAATTTCAGTTGTGGGGTTTGCATTGACGAGTTTTGCTTGCGATAAAAAAAAACTAGCAAAACTATTTCTTTACTAATCAAATCACCTAATATGGATAAACAATTTTGGGGGTAATACATTTTATTCTATGCCTGATTGTCTAAAGATTAAAATTATATACTCTGTACGTTGTGACTCGTGATATCCTCATGGAAAATCAACTAGTTAACGTGGAGTGCATGTACATAAAATTCTTCTTACAGTTTTAAATTGCATTGTACACTTTTTTAATACAGCATTCAAAGCAAACAACTTATTCCGGTTTCTGTAATGAAATTTGGATTTCAGAGTACTTGCTCCTTTAAAAATGTTGTTACAATGAACATGATGATGCCTTATTCCATGAGCCTGTTTAAATAAAAGAAGAAAACACCAACTAAACATTCACATAGTCTGTACGTCGGCTGCGGTAGGAGTATTTATAGAGTCATTTCAGCACCTAATGAATTGAGACTACAAGAGCACAGCAACTAGTTGAGCATGCTTTTGACCTTTGCACAACAAAAGCGTCTCTAAGATATTCACTTATGCATCTCATCATAAACATTCTATTCAAACAAGGCCCCGGAGAAATGGACGCCAAACTAAATGCTTTGCTAACTTATCACCTTGCATACATAAGTAACAAGGGTTACAATTAACCTTACTTTCACTGTAGGTCGGAGAAGCGGGCGGTCAGCAAACGACGACAAAAGACAAACGACACAACACCGAGCCGTCAACGACAACGATATCTTTGAAATGATAACTGCCTGTACATGTCATACTGCCAATAGTCAATAGCCTTTGTGCTGTGTGACTGTAAATCAGGCAAATGTTACTACTAGTTGTGTGAGTTGAAGTTTCTACAGTTTCTTGTATGAAGCTGTTATGGATTTGACGAGCGGTGAATTTTATATGTGTCAGTTATTGGCTTAGAGCTGAACAGTGAATTGTTTAAGAAACCTTTTTAAGCTTCAGATCTTTAAAGTCCCAAACGCTCACATAGGTAACTACGTTTTTAAATCTTTTATATCTCCAAGCGCTCCAATGAAAATGTTTAATGATTACATCACTCAGTGGTTTTGAATAGACTCAATTGTAAGTTTAGAATATTAAGTTACTAAAAAAAAATTTAACTATAATTATCATTTGGTTGGCATAGAAAAACTTTTAAATTTAAAATTTTCATATAGTAACTTAAAGTAGTTTAAAACGTGTTGTACACAAACTTGACTAGTTCACAACGCAATACTGTATAGGTTTAATCATTAAAGCTCATATTTGAAGAATTTTAAAACTACGCCATATAAGGTCTTCCTTACAAATAAGATGGCAGTAGTAGGCATATAGTGTGAAATATATCATTATAGACCTAGGCAGGTTTTACAAATTGTAATAGTTTTCTTTCCTGAACCATTATATATTTTTTGAAAGTTTATTTTAATCCTAAACCTTTAAATATAGGAATAATTAAAATGCTTCGTATAAAACTACATATTTAAATCACATTTTACCTGTTTGTGCGAGCACGAGATGGGTTTTGAAGAGAAGAAGAAGACAGAGGACCTCCACAAGCCACCGACCCATCCCTCCTCCTGAAAAATATGAACAATATGAAATAAAAAATGTCTTTATACATCAACCAAATGCACCATCTTCATCAATGTATAAGATTGAGTTGAGATTAAAGTTGTCGTAGTAAGATTCGTATTATAAACTTTGTCTCTTAACAATTCATTAATCCTTTCAGCAATGTCTGAGAAACCAATCTGCAAAAGCTGCATGCTATTAAGTTCCATAACATGACATGTAGCCGCGCCACCTACGCTGTCCTTGTGTCTTGTACAGGCATTAACTAACTAAGGTGGACAGTGACACCTAAAGAGGTCATAATCACAGGCCTTGGCTTCCGAGAGCTTCCCCCAGCTCGGGTGTCAGCTGAGTCACTGGACAAGGCCGGAGTGAAGTAATAGGGGAAGAGGTTTGTCGAACAACTTTTTAGTGGCTGTTCCAATATCATATTGTATGGAAGAATGGAAAACTCATGGTAAAGTGGCATAAGTGCCTAAGATCATTTGGAATGTGCCAAAGATTAATTTCGACTGGGCGTTCAAGACACTAATTTTTCACTGGGCTAATAAGACACGCAACCAATTATATAGTTGGAAACAAAATATGATTTTGTGAGATCAGTATAGCCCGTAGTCAAGATAGTATCATAGTAAGAAACAAAGTCGTTGCAACCACATAGGACATTTTTACTATAAACTATAAAATTAAAATTGGTTCTGGGTTTAGTTGTCGTAGCGATACATCCGATAATAGATTCTTCCCTATCGGGGAAAATTTGCTAATGGCGTTTGAATTTTTTCTACGCTAGTGACATTTTTAATTCAGTTAAAGTTAGTTTTTGATTTAACGCTTAATTCTGGGAAAGTGGTCCAAAGCCATGTTTTGATGTTGCTAATCTCCTATAAAATCTTTGGTGAAAGATGACGGTAAAGGAATGAAATGTGTAGAGATTAGATCGTTCTACTCCTGCACCAAAACTTGGTCTGCAATGTCCTCACAAACAGTTCTACCCTTACGTGAATCCTTGCTCTACATCCAAAACAAATGAATCCATTACAATAACTCCTTAACTTGAATCACCGAAGAAGACTATAGACTCGTGAAAGCTGGAAGTCATAGAGTCTCTCCTTAAAGAGTCATCCTACCGATTGGAGAAAAACGTGAAAATAGCTGGCACACTAAATATTTTGATCATCACTTATGACCGACTTATCAATTTCGGTCCGGGCGACCCAGCCCTACTAATATGCACGGATGATCGCTTCCCCATCGGGTGGAAATGGGTCTCACGATCCTCGCGCATGAGCGCATGCGCAGTCGTGATGCTCAGCAGTTCCGGTGACGCAACACACCGGTACCGGCGTCGGCGCTCTACAGGTTCCTGTGGCACCGTTACACCCTGTATGAGAGGAATATGTTAAGCACCATCTTCATGTCATAAGAATCACGAGTGCGATAGTCATCTACACGCTGAGGAGTTTGGAGTTCTTTGAAGCCGTGACATGACAGGCTGCTGCGTTGTTGGCTTTCCAAACAAGACTCAAGTGAAACAGAACAACTTTAGTTACTTACAAATATATATCCTCACGTATCCTTAATTATGAGAAATGCTATTTTTGTATCATTGATTTGATAGCTGATTCAATAACCTATTCAAGATACTATTCCAGATTACTGTAATCTCTCAGAAATTATTTTCGGTATACAGCACCCAGAGCTACAACAACATACCGTTCAAACAATCCAAAAACCTAAACATATACTGATGTGTTACAACTAAATTTCACATACATAAATGTCCGTACTTGACGCTTACTTATAGTTGCCTACTTGCTCCTAACGTGGCTAAACTCTCGCTCGTGCCCTACCACAGAAGGGTCTATGAAAACTGCTAAACTTATTCTTTGACGTGCTAAGAAAAACTATCTTTAAAGGCTCAAATTTTAAAGTTCCAAATCTAAATATATGGAGTTTTGTACATATCTCGTAGTTGCCTTCAACTAACAAGCCCTTTAATTGCAAAATGCCTTTCCAACATTCTTAAGTATCCAGCAAATATCAGCATATTAACCCGTCACGAAGTTACCAGCCCTGACCCCGTAGTTAGATGTACAATGGCCGATACTTCACATTTCACAAAACCTCTTGTTTCCCGCCTGGTTACAACAGTTCCCTAGGCTGGTCTGGTAGACACACCGTCTCCCGCGGAATGCGTTCAAGGCCAAGACTCTGACATTCAGCGGGCAGCGTTGAGCCACTGTGAGCTTTAACATTCCTTCGCGATTTTGGATTGTATTGTGGATGCTTAAAGTCGGTTCAGTTAGTATCCAAAATAAGTGGAGGAGTAAGCTTTTTCTACTCCATGGAGTTTTGGTGGATAGCTACAGTTAGCACGTATTATATCGATAGATTATACCATAAATGCTATGGTCAGAAAAATAATGAGTTACGAGTTTCATAAGGCCTTCAATATGACTTAAGCCGTCAGTTTCTCGTGGTTTCAAAATACTTCTCTCTCTGTATTTTCATCTGTATTTGCAGTGTGTGTTTTTTTTTTAGAAATACTGTAGTTACTTTTTTACGGTATAGTATATTTCATTACTATTACCGAAAGCGGCATTTTCCGATGCGTGCTCAAGTTTCATGTGTGAGGCAAAGCCGAACACAGGAAAACCAAATTTCACGTGCGAGGCAAAGCTGAGCAGGTGAGAGTTATTTTCACGTACGAGGCATAGCCGAGGACTGGTATAATGGAGCAAGTGTCGGGAAAAAGCTTTTGGTACGAGTTGTGAACGATACTTTAATTAACTTAAGTCACTTAAGTTTAATTAACTTAACAATTTGTAATTTGTACCAGTGTCTAAGCCTTATGTATTTCTCTTCTTATCCTCCCCGTGATTTATCCGGTGAAATGTGATAAGTTAATAATTACTTTGAGCAATTTCAAACATGCACTATTTTAAAAACACAGCAATACAAACTAATGCCTGTTTCTGTATAGATTTAGATTGTGAAACAATAAAAACAGCTGTTTCAAATCATTAAATTAAACCTAACAAAACACTGGCGCGCGTAGTGAGTAAATGAAGAACTAATCGAGAGCGAGGGAAAATCAGCTGATCGATTTTCGCTCGCCCTAAATTAGAGCTTGGGAAAAACTACTTTTTCCTACAGTCACCTGACAAAGTTGGCTTCCTTGTACTGTTTATAGTACAGAAAGCTGCTAATTGCTGCATATTTATACTTTGCCGTACGGTTTATCCTTTGCCGTACGGTTTATACTTTGCCGCACATCAGGATTCCAACGAAACAACACAAAACAGCGTGGTTCTATTATGCACGTAATCCGTGTACGCTTGGAAATAGGTTGGCAACACTTTAAAAATAATAATACTATGAGCAGCTGATTGACTATTATAACTACGATTTAACCTGTCATTTCGTGTTTATAGTTTCGGTATTTCTGAACTTTCTGGACTTTTCTTTTAAACGTTTTTAAAATATTCCTACGATCTTAACAAACAAGAAAATACCTTTAAAGCATTTTTTTAAGGCGCGGAAACCACTTCAAATTACAAAAACATACGGAACTATATTCTCGAAACGCGGAGCATATTTCTTGCCGAGGTAAAATAGCGGAGTGATACGGACCGCGGGTACTACTTTATCTAGGGCACCATTTGTGTTGCCAGCTGAACCTAAAAACGTGTTGTATAGTGTTTGAAAGACTAATTATTTATATGCTTTATAATGACTGTAGGAAAAATATAATGTGTAACACGAGTGAAAAAGGCCTTTGCTACACTCGAGATCATTCCGCACTCGCCTGCGGCTCGTGCGTAAACATTGCTCTCGTGTGCAGCAAAGTGCCACTTTCACCACTAGTTACACAAATAACTATTTGTTGATAACAGCTGTTATCAAAAATTGTTACTTTTGGCGAGGAGTGATGAAAAAGGTTTTCAACATCACCACGAGGGCTTAGTTCATCACAATGATTAGGGCGGTTTTAACCTGGGCTTTTGCCAGCTACAATTACGCTAGGAGAGTCACAATTAATGTAAGAATAAAACTAGTAATAATGAGTAACCTTATCTACCTTCGAGGGTGACTTTAAACCACTTTTTACTACTTGTGACAATAGTGGTTTAGTGTGGCAAAACAAGTAGTAAAGGATTCTCATGAACAACTCTAACTCGACACGATTGACCTAAATAGTTCTAGTAATTAAACAACTGAGCGTTTAATTTAGTGTTTCTAGCTATTACGTACAGTATTCACTAATTATACTGGTAAGATTTTACTAGTAGAAGTTTTCAATTTCACTGGATTCAACATGAACTTGCAGATTATAGAAATTACTTTTCCTGTCAGTTCAACTGAGGTTCAACTCAAAACCTCATCTTCAACAGCAATTTGAATCTCCACAGTTTCAAGGTTAGTTAAACACAGGGGCAACGGACGTCACCACAGTTTCCTGGTTTTCCTGGACAGATTTATCGAAGCTACTTTCCCACAAGAAATCATAACTTACTTGTGAACATTCTGTACCGGCTGACCAGGGTTTCACCGGACATGCCAATTAGTACCGTCGATGCGATAAAACATCGCGGAACAACCGAATATCGTTAATCGATCAGGATAGACTGGACGAGCCGATTGATTCTTTATTGTGACCAATTAGCATAAAAGAGAAAGGAATTGACGGATCTCAACTGGTTATGGTAATTGGTGACATTAAGAGAGCAATTTGTAAAACTTGAGTGGACGCGAGTCACTAACTAGGGTTGGGACAGGTCAGTGATACTGTATTCAACTCATTTAAAGGTTCTTTGAAACAAAATTTAACGTAATACAAAATTATTATTTGATAACAGTAAGTAGTGGATACATAGGGCTGCTGAGGAGTGACGTCACAAGAGCCATGTGGTGCTTAATTGACGGTTAAGCATCTGGTGGTAATGGTGCGTGACCTAGCACGTGGTGTGGTGGGTTACGGTATGGTGACGTCATGATGACGACA